TTTCCGGAGCCCTCCACTACGGCGTCTCTCATAATCAAATAGTGGTTTTGGGACATTAAACCCCACATATCAATCAATCAATGCATTTGTAAAGCTTTTTTCTCAAAATTCATTTTTGGGTCACTTCCTGAGTTACAACATCTTGTTCTTGGTTTTTCTAATACCCTCACTGGTATAAAATTTTGCACCCATAATCGTGAACATGCAAATGGTACAAGTATCTCCTTTAAAACTTGATGTCACCTGTATAGTTATTACGAACCTAAAGTGAACAATAAGTGTAGGCTGAGGATTTTAAGAATTCTCATATCACAGGTTTTCTGGTCCATTAAAATGTCTTATATGCTTTTTCTTTAAATGTATGTGCATTCTACAGCTAATGTAGAACAATATGAGCCCTTAATGGCTGAGAACCATAAATGTCTCGTGGCATAAGGAGTTTGTCCGAAAATCAACTATACATTTTACATGGTCGTGGCATAAAACTAAAACTGTGCAACTTACTATAAAACTAGTTACATATCTGAAATCAGCATAAATGGTCATATATACGGCGAGAATTCTATTGTCCTAAGGTGCAGATTAATACAACTTTTTTTTTTCGGAATATCATTTCTCCTTAGTGGCTCAGAACCATAAAAGTTTACTGGCATAAAAAGTTTGTCCAAAACGAACTACATTTTACACATTGTCATGGCACAAAAAAAAAGAACTGTGCAACTTACTATCAAACTAATTAGTAATTACAAACTTGAAATCAGTGTAAAAGATATATATATATATATATATATATATATATATATATATATATATATGTACATACATATAGCAAGAAAACTTTGTTACCCTACGGTACAGAATAACGAATTTTTTTTTCAAATCTCATCTCCCCTTAAGTGAAAGGTGAATTTAAGGTGGGAGGCTATCATCAGATACCAACTTTTCTTGTTTATTGAGATATTTTGATGAAATTTTCAGGATAGACTAATAGCAAAATCATTAGAACTACTACTAAATTTCATCAAGTTATGTCCACTGGTTCTCTAGATAAAGCATATGTCAGAATAGTGCTCATGGTTCTTTTATTCCAGGCCTGGAGGACTTTCGAAACATCCCCGCCGCAGTGGTCTAGTGGCTGCTGACCCCCAGGTCGCGGGATTGCATTGACCCGCAGGTCGCGGGACTGTGGTTATAGCATTTCCGATTGAGGTGGAAATGCTGTAGGCCTGTGTGCTCAGATTTGGGCGCACATTAAAGAACTTCAGGTGTTCAAAATTTTCGGAGCCCTCCACTACGGCGTCTCTCATAATCATATGGTGGTTTTCGGACGTTACACCCCCACATATCATCAACTTTCAAAAGATGCTTGAACTGTGAAATGGACAATGATGACTCTCAGATTGATACCTCAGGGGGTAACAGAGCTCTTTTTTTTTATTTCTTACTGAAAAGCTTTAGCAGACCATCAAATTTGGTGTTGATGATTCGGGTATTAATCAAGTGTTGATTAGGTATCATAAATAACAGATACACTATATTAAAAAAATAGGCTTGTCTCCCCCTCAGTAATTTATTTATGTACATAACAAAAAAAAAATCTATGAAAATAGAATAAGTGGTTTTCCAGATATGGTAGAACAAGCAGCCTTACTAGCCGAAAAAGTCATTTTGAAAAAACGACATTTGAAATTTTTGGGCGCATGGAAATTTAAAACAACCCTGCAGCATAACTGGAGGTCTTCTTTGGCACTTTTCTTTGCCGCCTTTCCGTCTTCTCGAAGGATCTCTTTTTAGCCTTTTTAAAACGCAGTCAATCTTTCTCGCCTGCCCGTTGAATGGCCTGGCCTGGTCACGCTGTATTGCCTGAAATTTCCACTCCGTAGCTGGCATAGTGCCGAGTTCTTCTTGAACAGCAGTGCGTTGTTGATCCACCGCTTCTTTCTCTTCGTACGTCGGAAAACGTGTTCGCAAGTGCACAGTTGACGACCCGTTCGCACTCTTGGAGGATGTAGAAGCCCCTGTCGATGAATGCGAGACACCAGGTGCACTTGCAATGTCGAATTTTTGCACCAGTTGAGCAGGAGTCTCGTGTCTAGGCGGCTTGATGCAACCACACTTTTGTGTAGATGAAGAAGCTGCTCCACGTGTACTGTCGGTGCAATCATCATCTGCGCACGTGTGAGCAGAGAGCCTCGTCATGCGGACAACCTTCATAGATCACTTTCTTGCACCGAACACTTGTTGAGTCTTCCTTTTCGTTAGACGCATCGTGAGCGAATGCAACAACGATCTCGTAAATACAGTTGAAAATTGTCTCGTGAAAACGTTTGAAAATTGTTTCGTAAATATGTTTGAAACGCGGAGAGTATGCGATCGGCTGCAACGATGGACGATAGCGGGTGGAACACTAAGAAAATGCTGAGGACGAAAGAGCATCAGATGACAGAGAGCCGCATTATGTGTAACAGTACTACGTCGTTGCGTGCAGCAGTCAATCACAGTCGTAGGATCTCTCTCGTCCTTGAGGAGCGCGCTCATCGTTCACGCCCGGAGGCGCGCCTCTGCCGCGGGAAACTTCAAAGCTCCCGTGAGTCCTCCAATCATGAGCAGTTTTCTCGTCTCCTGCGCTGCTGCCGTCGGCGCTGGTGGCAGGAAGAGAAAGTGCAAGAATTCACGAACAAAACAACACTAAAATGGCAAAGCTCTGTCAAGCGGTCGAGAAACTGCGATCGCACTAAGTTGGGGCCAATTTGAGCGCTCCCGTGTCACTTGAAGGTTGCGGCAGCTTCTTGTAAACTTTATTTCAAACAGTTTCGCGATGAGTTGGACGTTGATATTTACAGAAAAGGTAGTTTATGACACGTACTGCCCGAATATGTGGCTTCCCAAAAATAGACTTTTTCGCTATCTTTTCGTTTTCATAGGTCGCGTGCCCCCTTAATTCAGGTGAATGACACCAGCAATGCAGTTTTGAATCATTTGCATCGCCCTGGTTCATCACCATGTTAATTCCAACTATTTCAATATAGCTTCATTTCTAGTTTTTAGATATGGCAGACAAATTTAGGTGCGTTACGAGTCTCATACAGGCGACACATGCACTGACGTAAGCTGCATATATTGCAACAAGGTACTGTTCACGGCCCATACGCAGCAGCCACTGGAGCCTGTGGCATATAGTGCATTTCGATTTTGGCACCGCAAAGAATGCTTTATTGTTTTGGTGCGATTGTGACAGTTCAGTGTGCAACACCCTTTCTCACTGAAAGAGCTGTGGCTGCATTGTGTGACACTGGTTCAGCGAATCACCAGAGAACACGCTTGGGATCGCACATTTTTCGACCAATGGCATCAACGAAGCAGCTAGGAAAAGAAAGTATCAGCAAAGCTGATGTCAATTGTACTTGACCAATCAGAATACATGAAGTGTTAGCATAACCTGCAAAGTGTTCACTTCTCTACAGAGCAGTCAGTCGAATCACTCTTTTCCTCTATTTTTTCCAGCACCTGTTTGCCAACGCAGTGCTTGGTGAATAGAAGTGCTGGAATCACTGAAGGTAGAGGGCATTCACTTGATCCACAGAATGTATTGTGGAGTACCGTGGCTCTGTATTACAACTTCATAATAACTGTTGGGTGTGGTGTAGTGGGTGAAGAAAAAAAATAGTAAAACTGGTGAAAAATCGAGAGTGCAATTCTTATACAAGTATATGTGGTAAGGGGATGGCTATTGCATAGTTTGCAACAAACGTTTCGGTTATTTAAAAATAGTTTTTAGGACAGTTGACACATGCGGCGCGCTGCTTGAACACTAAAAAAGACACGAACCCACGGGTAGAACAAAACATGAGCCCTTGTTGTGCTCGAGTTGTGTTCTACTCACGATTTTTCGTGTGTGTTTCTGTGTGCTGAAACAGCGCATCGCAAGTGTCAATTATGGATAACTAACTAGTCCCTACTCTGGCCCTTGTAGCTGTTTTTAGGTGCTGAAAGTTTCTCTCTGAGTTGTGTTGTATGTGGGATTGGCGGCAATATGGCGTGAGCTATCAGTGTTTGAGTGATCTGACTTTTTTTAAACTGCATCTTTGAGGGGACAGACTGGTTTTTAGGACTAAAAAGTGACAAAAAAATTAATTTCTTAAAATTGACATATTTGGCTTCTGCTAGTATTTTTCTATCTCTGCAATTTTTCACACACCAGGAAGTGGTAATCTTTTTGTAATGTCATTCTAAGTGTCAAGATTCTTGGTGCTCTTAACGTCCAGAACCTGTAAAAAAAGTGGGGAACACACTTTGAGGCTTCTTTAGAACTTGCCAGCACCTCTTTAGAAGCTCTGCTACAAATGTATGAGCACCTTTATGAGGATTTCAAAACATGCACACCATGATTGTTGCTTTTTGAAGAAGCTGTGTGTTTTCAGTTTTTTCCATTTTTCTCAAATAAGCGAATTTGCAACTGTTTAGTTTTGAGGCTTTAATATCTCTGCAGCTAGGACAGGTATAACAATAATTCTTTTTGCAATGGAAACCTATATGTGTGTAGAATGCAAGTATAAGAGCAGAATTTAGAGCGCAAGCCTTTTTAATTAATTACTCATCAAAATTGTAACACAATTTCTACTGCTTTTGAACATGGCTAGTTCATTTTGCTGTAAAATAACCAAAAAAGGCCTAAAAACAGAAAAGTCTTGCTTAATTTGAATCTATAGTCATTAGTCTATGTTGGCATATCCTAAATATCACTTCTAAATGAGCACTTGTTTTGCTATGGCAGCCCTAAACAATAGGGAGGGAACTTAAGTTATCGCAGGAACAAAATAAGTTACAGGAAAACTAATTAAATATTTGAAATCAGCAGAAAAAACTGTATAATCCTGTGCAGTTTGATAAAGATCACTGAAGAAATAAAGAAAAAATGTCTAAGACCAGTCTGCCCCCTTAAAGGAACAGAGTTTAGCATCGTGTCTCTAATTGCCGCATGTTATTTTCCTGATGCACAGGTCAGAGCATACCACAAGAGCTTCTACCGTCCTGAGAATCTGTGTGTGATTGTAGCTGGCAGCATATCGCCCAAAGAAGTACTCAAGGCTCTGGAGCCAATTGAAAAGAAAATCATTGCCAAGGTAAGCTACCTGCCAAGACTCCATCTCACAACTACCTTGCAGCCCTGCCGAAGCTATAAGGAGTACACAGGCAGTGTTCTTGAGCAGCATATTTTATAGTCCTGCCAAGACTCCATCTCACAACTACCTTGCAGCCCTGCCGAAGCTATAAGGAGTACACAGGCAGTGTTCTTGAGCAGCATATTTTATAGTCCGGGCATAAATAATTCATTATCAATGACCAAAGAGCTGTGGCTGTGCTTCTTTTCTTGTATGACACGTTACAATGAAGCATTTTGTGTTAAGCTCTTCACGCATGCATTTCACATTTTCTGAATTATTGCATAGCTTATACCGGTGTCACACGGGCACTTTTAATCGCGATCAATGTTGATGCGGACTAACCACAATCCGGATTAGGTGGTGCTACACTGTCATATTTAATCACGATAAGGCGTGATCGGGATCAAGTTTATCGCGATCCATTCATCGGGATCTGCATGAGAGATCGCGATTTTGCTGTTGTCTCCATCTCCTGACCGAGCTTGTTGAAAGCACAAAAAAAACAAAAAAAATCCAGCATAGTTCAATAAAAACATTTTAAAACAGCTAAATGTTTATGAAAAGCAAATTTTAAAGTGTTTATATTGGGAAAAATGTCTGAAATATTGCATATTTTAACATTCGTTAGCATGTAGTTACGGGAGAAGCAGACGACCGTTGCCTTCCGCTCTTGCTTCAACCCACACCGCCGAGCTGTTCGAGCAGCTCGAAGCAAACTGAATATGAGTGTCGTAAACCTCTCGACTACATCGCAGCGTACGCGCACTTCGTGGTCAAATGAAGGGACCTCCACATTAATTGACTGCTGGCAGGAAAGACTGGGAGGCTTGAGGCGCCATAAGAGAAACGCTGGTGTATACAAGGAGATCCCCACTTCGCTCCGACTGGACGGCTACAAGCGGGGGCCGTCAGAAATCAAAGTGAAGATCAAAAATCTCACACAGCAATACAGGTAAGTGCACAAAATACTCTGTGAAATGGTGTATTTATGAAATTACTTTGTAGTGGCTCACAGTTTTTCATGTCCGTGCGTTCTTTGCATGAATAACATTGCTGATAAAGGCCTCTATAGAAATAGTGTACGCTGATTTTTGTGATTGACGTGTTCAGTGCTATTTAGCTTTCTGAGACCCAGCAATGGGAAGTTTGTTGATGTAATAAACAAATAGTAACACAGCCCACCAGGGCTTTCATAGCACTTGCCTCCTCCTGAAAAAGTGTTTTCTCGGCTGCTTGTGGGACCCGTGCCGCCATGTAGTGAATATGGTCGAAGTCTGTTTGTTTTCGGTTTCTTGGGAGCACTCGAAATAACGGGACTGAGCACGAACAACTTTTACTGCTACCGCCTAAGAAGTAAAGGAGTTTATATTCATTCTTGGATGTCTTAAGTGTATCTAAGCATTAGTTTCTGTTCGTAAAAGGTTCAAGCACGCAAAGAAATCCAAATTTGGGGAAAACATTTTTTTTTATGCAGAGTGAATCTGACAATGTCCAACATAATGGGTGTTGGGTCACAATGACAACAAAAACACGACAGTATGCTCATGTGCTCTCTCGGCACTCTACAGAGAACAGCACTTGTTTTGCTGCAGTTATAATTATTACATATTGGCATCACTTATTTTCACTTGTAGGTTACGATGCCATGGCCCAGAAAATATTACCATTAATAATTATAGTTTGTTTGAAAGCAGTAAATAAAGTATATATGTAATGCCATATGTCCTCCTCCTCTGGCCTCAACTACGGCCTACTTTCGGTTACCCAAAACAGTCTCCTAAGAGTGCCAATATCCAATATAATGGACAACGTGCTGCGGCCAATTAACATTATCATTTGAAAAACTACGTGACACTTCTCACCTTAGCACTAAGAAAAATCACCTTTGAAAGTTTAGCAAAAATATATGACCCTAAATTCTTGGTCTCGGGAGGTTAGAGTACGTGCCTATATGCCCCAGCTCAAGGGACAAAAATCTGGTGAGGCGCACGTACTACAAACCTCTTTATGTAAACTACAGTGTATACGCTAGAATTACGTCCTACTTTTTCATTTTATGCATGCATTTATGCTTTGTGCAGACACTACGTAAAGACGGGACAGACGACTGGCTCAGCATCAGTTAAATAGCCCTATTCCCAAAAAATTCATTCTTTCTTGGGATGCCTCCCGGTAAACGACGCGAGTCTTGTGCAAGAGACAAGCTGCGGAGAGGAAGGCACCACTGTGGAAGAGGTATGTGAAATACTTTTTTTTGTTTAGATATTCCATGGCAACAAAAGTGTGCTGATGTAGCCCTCATGCTCGCGAGTTAAAGATTGAAAGGGTGTATACGAGATATTTTCAAATGAACAGAAATAATGTGCGAGACATACAATTTTAGTAGCATTGTTTTTAGAAACATTTTTATTGAGTTTTGACCAGCCAGCGCACGTCATTGCTGTTTTCCTGTTTTTCTTTTTCTTTTTACACAGCTCATCAGCGGTATGGTGTGCAGTGGTCGCCAGAACAATGAACATAGTAGCCCTGAAGTAAGCGAAAGCACGGGAACCTCTTCTGATCCACCGCCCGAAACAGCTGAAGAGGAACCATCGACTGTTCGTTCCACATCCCAGCTACGGCGCGATGCGACTAAAAGGAGGCGTGGCACCGCCTCCTCAGAGTTTGGAAGTGCTTTGCTCGCAGAGCAGAAGCGCATGCGGAAAAGCTTTGAGGCTGCGCACGCCAAATAAATGAAGCTGAGGGAGCGCCACTTGAAGCTTCAAGTAAAAATGGTTGATGCAATAGGTACATTTTTCGGTACGCTTAACTAACACCCTTGTGTTGATAAATAATAATAAAGAAATAAAGAAAACACCACAATTAAAGTAGGTGATGTCAGTGTCTCCTTAATTCTCTTTCCTTTGTTTGTAGTATTGTACAAGAGCTCTTCTAACTGCCTCTCTACCGACGGCGCTCTCACAAGTGCTGCTTTCTGGTTGTTCAAACTGTGTGTTGCTGGCTTGAACATTGGAGGTCCAGTGTTGCATCATTCCTTTGCCGAACTCCTCGCAGATGTTTTTCAATATGCAACAGGCACGAATTACCGTCGGGGCATTGTGAATTTTGCATTTCATACGCTTCATTGTGTACCTAAACTTCGCCTTCAACCGCCCAAAGGCGTTTTCCACTATTCTTCTGGATTTCGATAATTGGTAATTGAATGCTTTCATCTCCGGGTTAAGGCATGCACGGCGACTAAAAGGCTTGATAAGGTTCGCCATCAAAAGAAAAGCTTAGTCACACAAGATCACCGGAGATCCGGAGTCACACAAGATCACCTGTCCGCAAATGTCTACGACGGGCGTCTGGAGTAATGGGCCTTCAATGAACTGGGCCAAGCCAGACCGCTCGTATACAGAGGCGTCATGGCAGTGACCGGGTGATCCAACATTCACGTACAGGAACCGGTAGCGCTGATTCACTAATGCAAGCAGGATGATGCTGTACTTGCATGTAGTATGAGGGGGCATTTACAGAAAGCACCAAGCCTGTAACGTACGTCAATGACAGAAACGCCGACAGGTTTTTTTTTTTCTTATCCTCACCCGGGCGGCGTAAGTGCTGAAGCGATCAATATTTCATGCAGGTGCAGAACAAGCTATCAATATACATGTCTCAAGTTTTATGACTTGTCAGGCCAGTTTGCTACTACGTTCAACAAAATAAGTTTTGTTTATACACAGATACATTATGTATTTTGTGTTTGCATGAATATATGTCCATGTGCATGTATATTATAAGTATTTACCACCCTTTGTAGTTGTAGTAGTCGTTTGCAAATTCTTTCGGCGGCGACACTGGAAAGTGGCACCCATCAAGGGCGCCAACCACCTGAGGGAAGTCGCAGACAGCGCTGCATTCCATGATGTGGGTGGCCATGCCGTCTGCTCTTGGCATCTTCAGCCACTGTGGTTCTAGCTCAGTTATAACTACTTCGCAGATTTCTCTGTATATGGTATTCACAGTGGAGCGCCCGATGCCGAAAAGATTAGCAATAGATCTGTCTTCAGAAGACAAACAAAGCTTGTAAAGTCCCATTGCAACTCTTTTTTCCACCGATATCGCTTGGCGCATCGCAGTCACCTTACGCTGCACAATGGGCCGGCAGGATTCCACGATGTATCGAAATGTTCCACTTGATACGCGAAAACATTGCTTAAAAAACCGTTCCCCAATATTTGGTAGAGTGTCCTCAAACCATCTCTCGTTCCGATCGAACTTCCACCTTTCGCATGAACAACTACATTACCAGCCACTGCGGCAGCTGTGCATAAGGTGTTTGCGAGAATGCAGTATCTCTTCATTTCTTGAATTTCCACTTTTGCAACCTCTATGTCAAGGTCAATATTGGTAGAGACCATCAAAAAAGATACAATTCTGCACTTTTCTTTGGCACTCATTTTGCAAGTGCAGCAGAAATTCCCCGGCGCTTGACACAAAAAAAAAAAAGAAGACAGAAAAGCACGACTGTCAGCATTGGCAAGTGCCAATGGCGCCTGACGTAACGAACAAAAACGAAACAAACTTGAAACTTTTGACAAATTAGACCCCTGTGAACATTACAAGTACTTCGTAAAAAAAATGAGTTTCATGAACAACTTGTAAATTGCATTGCACCCATTGTACAAGTTTTAGGGCACGCTAACGCCACCTGGTGCATTTCTTGAGGAAACACCGAACCGGATTAGCTTGGGCCGTGTATCAGCGGTCGCAAAGTTGATCGCGACCTCAAAAACGAATCAGTCATGCTGATCGTGATTAAAAGTGCCTGTGTGACAACGGTATTACACGGTGGTAACCATTATAGCCACCCTAACCACAATGATATACAGCAACATGGCAGCCCACATACAGCCCAGACCGTTCACTTGAACTCATTTGTGCTTTTTACTGGCTCTCTGCTCCCAACAGCAAGA